CTTGTTCCTCATCAATTTGTGTGACTTATGGCATCACTCCCATCTAGCTCTGTGCACCTACTGAATTTGATGTCCTTGGCCTCCTGAAGAGTTGGCATCCCTGGCTGTCTTCTGGATGTTTTGCCTAGAATGGGTTGAAAAATGTAGTTTTTGTGGAATTTTTGTCACTTGTGGCATCTCTCCCACCTCGTCTTGTGTTGCTGGTGATTCTGTTGGACATGGCACCCTTACTCCTACATCAAACAGTAGGACAATTGGGTTCAGTGCCATCAATGAAATATAATGTCAAATACAGTGTGTTAAGCTTTAAGCTTCTATAGGACTCTTTTGTAATTTATCTCTCCAAAAGACTCATGTAACTAAGGCTGCATCTGTATTGCAAAAATAATGCAGTTTGACAATGCTTTAACTGTAATGGCTCAATGCTATAGAATTCTGGGATTTCTAATTTTGTGAAATATTTAGACTTTCCTGTCAAAGAGCCCTTGTGCCACAAATGCTACAAATCCCAGAAATCCATAACATGGAACCATGCCATTTACAGTGGTCTCAAACTACATTATTTCTGCAATGTAGATGCAGTCTAAGTCCCTGAAAAGTCTGTTTTCCTTTGTATAAGAACACAGGGACACAAATTCAAAGCAAGTAACAACCAAGTGTGGCACACCTGTTTTCCCATTAACACGACCTGATAAATACAAGTATATTGCTCCTATTTGCGTTAAATTTGCGTTGTGTCTGAGTAAAGGGTTCAAAAGACCACACCATACATCAAAAACAAGAAACATTGATTAAGCCTTTCCCTCCAAAAAAAACTTCATTTATTATATGAAATTATTTACCAGAAATCTAAAACCCAATGTAGGGGCCCTGACACCCTGACACCGTCCTGACATCTTTTCACAATGGGCATCTATCTGTCCCTTTCTTGGCTTTCTCTAGTCTCCTTTCCATTTAGGAACAGACATTAAAGCTCTCAAGAAGCATGGGGAAAATATGATAAGAGTTTACATTTTTCTGGAAGCCCTGTTATGGATGCCATGTATTTGTACTGTGTACTGTTGCACTTATAGTTCTGTAAAAATAACAATTCTGCTTTTGTAGGAAATAAGCAAGCTCTTTTTCCCCAATACCAGAGATGTCTCCTTTTCTGTAGTTATCACTTCTTCCAGATAGCCCACAGTTTTGTTTTTTTAAAATGAACTCTTGGAATGTAGACTAGCTAATGATCCTAACAGGTACTGAGTACAATGCATAGAATCTAGATTTAATCTGGCCAATCTGGTCACATGGAAATTTACAATATAAGTCTTCAATACTCCTCCCCCAAACTCTGGAAAGTATCCACTAGACTCAACATTCTGCAGAGAAGAAAAGGCACTGAGGAAGGAAAATTATAACTCACATTTGAGTCTGAATGTACAGGGAGAAGAGAGGTAAACAGGCAGGGGAAGAATCTACACCTCCTTTAAGACTGATTTATATTTTAGCATGAGCTTTTGTAGGTATCAACTTATTTCCTCAGTCACTGCATCTGAAGGATTGATAACCCTAAATATTCATGCTAAAATATAAATCAGTAGTCTTAAAGGGACTACTAGATTCCCCCTCCCTTATCATTCTGCAGCAGCAGAGTAGCAGGCTTATTCTGTGAGTGGGAAAAGTTTTATTTTAAAAAGGATTCAGCATCTACTGTTGCCTTCATCTCCTCCTTCCTTTTTTTTGCCTTGCTGAAGGAAATTCCAAGGAGAAGCAGGAAGAGACATGCTTAACTTGATGCAGACCAAGAGTATCTCACAATCCTGACACCTGATATCTAGTTCCTTTTAATGGCACCTCATTGAGGGAGGGGGAGTGAGGAGTGCACCTTATTTTGTGCACCCAGGGCAGAGAACTCCACCATTTTGTTGTTGTTGTTTACTGCCCTCAAGTCGATTTCGACCCATGGCAACCCTGTGGATGAGACATCTCCAAGACAGTGTCCTCCACTGTTATGCTTAGTTCCTGCAAACCCATACCCATGACCTCCCTAATAGAGTCGATCCATCTAACATGCAGCCCACATTTCTTTCTACTTCCCTCCACCTTTCCTATCATTATTGTCTTTTCCAATGAGTCCTGATTCCTCAGTTTTGTCATCTTGGCTTCCAGGGAGATTTCTGGCTTGATCTGCTCTGGGACCCATTTGTTTGTCTTTTAGGAAGCCATTATTTCAAGTATAGAGAGGGTATGGGGACTTCAGATTTTCAGAACCAAGAAATGCAGCAAATTTCGGCAGACATTTTGGAGCAGTGATTTGAAATAAGAAGAGATGGCAAATCTATTCTGCTATTAGGCTAATCGGAAAGTCTGATGCTACTGACTACTGAAGGTGTAATTGCAATTCAAGATCTATTCTGTCCCTTAGTAGGCCCAGCTACTCTATGGTGGGGTGCAGACAGGCAGCTCTGGGCTGCCCCAGGAAGTGGCGGATCAGGGCCGTGGCTACCCCACACCATGGCCCCAATCCTCCCTTTTGCCACCCCAAAAAGAACGGAAAAATGCCGCCCCTTTTAGGGGTGGCAAAAGGGCTCCCTAAGAGCCAGCATATGACTCTTCTTCACCCTTTCTGGTGCAGCGTGTCAGAACACTGCGCCAGGAGGGTGTCCTGATGCCATGCACCATGCGTAATGGCACACAGCATCAGGATGGTATCAGCATGGGGTTGGGGTGGCTGGCATGCAGACGCCTTTGGGCCGGTCTGCAGAGGCCCTACATTTATGGAGCTAGTGGCCCTGCATTTTGTGCCTGGTGTGAACAAATGAAACTTTCCCACTCACAGAATATCCCTGCCAGCCTATACTTGCAGTGAGGGAGAAAATAGATTTCCATCACCCAGAAAGTGATTAAGGAACTTTATC